CATCTCCCGCCCAGTGCAGACATTAATCATGCACTGTTCCACCCAAGCAACTCTCAAAGCACCCAGTGTCACACCGGTGATGACCGCTTCCAACATCCCCCACACAATTCCCGCACCCCGGACGCCAGCTCTAAAATAAAGAGTTTGCAATGAAAAACAGCCAAGTTTGGGCAGATCCCTAAAAACCAGCCTGCTTTGGGCACCACTCTCCCATGGCAGGTGGCAGCTGTCACCCCACTGGGACATCTCACCCCTGCTCTGGTGGCTGGCATGAGGCCAGCGGCCCGCACCCACAGTGACGGCACCGTTTGCTCCTTCTCCCCCAGCAGCTTCTCTGTTCCTCTCTTGTTATTTCAAGAAAATGGCCCTGTGGTTTCTTTGCCACATGAAAGCACCCCAGAGTTCAGGTGGACACTCTGGCTCCAGCTGAGCTGCCAGCAGTCCCTGCGGTTGGGATTTCCAGGGGAGAACAATTGTACCATGCAGATTGGAGGCACAGATACTCAGCTCAGGTGGGGCTGTGTAAGTACAGATTGCCCCTGCGTGCACCAGGATGGCTCCGTGTGCTGCATTCGTTTTCCCCTCTATGGGTTTTTGGTTCTCCTGGTGATCACCTCTGCAGCTCCTGCCCTGCTCGTGGCTTTTATGGCATTACATCACAGTGCAGGGGCCACACTGCACACACTGAGCTCCCCAGATAGTGAATTACAGCTCCATCCTACCCACACCTTTCAGGTGCTGCTGCTCATTTTGCCTCTTTTCCTCCTGCTTTAAAGCAGCCTGGTCAATCAGGAATAGGAAGATCTTCATTCCCTCCATAAATCTCTGATTTGTTCCAGTGTGATGTGACCCCTCCTTCCACTGAACAAATGCTGAAGCTTTGCCCTTCTGTGGGTCCTGCACCCAGCAGTGGGGCTGCATCCCCAGGGCTCAGGAGGAGAGCGCTGATGGTTTGCAGATGTGATTTCATTTTCAATTGTTTCTGATTTCCTTGGTTGTTGATTTTTTTTTTGTTTGTTTGGTTCTAGAAAACAGACTATTTCTTCAGGGAGTGTTAGCCACAGGCCTCGTTGGGCATTGTGTTTTATTCCATTGTTTTTTGTGTTGTGTGATTAGTAATATTGAGTTACATAATGATAAGCCGTGGTGCCTTGTTACAAGGCTGAAGGCGCAGTTCCTATCCCAGCTCACAGCCTTCAGCCTGAGCAGGTAGCACTGTACAAAGGCAGAGGATCATGGAAGCATATAATCACAGAATGCAATTACACTGGTTTGGAAGGGACCTTCAAGACCACAGAACCATGGAATCCCAACATGGTTGGGTTGGAAGGGACCTTGGTTGGCTGTCCCTCCCCTCCCTGCAGCTCAGGCTGCCCAGGGCCCCATCCGTGGCCTCAGCACCTCCAGGGATGAGGCACCCACAGCTCTGGGCAGCAGTGCCAGGGCCTCACCGCCCCCTGAGTAAGGAATTTCCTCCTAAATCTTCCCTCTTTCAGTTTAAAGCCATGAAAAAGCGGCTTGCGCCCAGCTGTTGGAGGCAAAGAGCTCCTGCAGGTAGAGAAAGGAGCCCCTCTGCCCACAGAGACACTTTCAGGAAGCTGAGGACCAGCAAACACAGGAAACTGTAATTGAACTAAATCCATCTCTTTAACCTCATTATTAGGATTGGGATTATATGCTTTGGAGAGCGTTCAGCCCCCATGTAGGGAGCTGGGAGCAAATGCCAGAGGCTGCCCTGGGCTCCCCGGAGGCACCATGCAGACCCAGCACAGCAGCCACAGCTCATCCTTTGTGCACAGCTCCTGACAGAGGAGCACTCAGTGAGGGCTCCCACCTGTTCCCATACAGCACTCCTGCACTGCTCCCTGTCTGCTGCAGGAAAGCGTCAGCAAGGCAAGAGGGCAAAGGTGAAGCGTTATCGCGGTGCACGTGCTAAGTTTTCTTTGCAGCTCTGCGGAGTGTTCAGCACCTCAGTAACAGTCAAACAGCTGCTGAATGGGGCTTTGTCTATGGCTGGGTGAGACTGCCTGCCTTGTGACAGCCGGCACCGCAGAACTGCCTGCAATATGGATGGATGCCCCATCCCAATTCCTCTCCCTGCACCATCCCAGCTCCAGCGCTCATCGGTGAGGTGCTGGCAGCTTGGTGCCTGGGCTGCATGGACACAGAGCACAGAGGTCCCCACCTGCACCATCGCTCCCACACAGCTGCGAATGTCGGTGCTCAGTCCTAAAATTGGTGGATTTAAATGCATTGGCTGAGCGAGCATCTGCCATTCACTGCGTGATCGGGGTGGTAGGACTGAGAGCGGGGCTGTACCTGCCCTGTTTTGGGAACGGGGATGGAGAGCTCATGGCAGGGTAGGGGCAGAGCAGGCATGCTGTTTGCAAACACTGCCACAGGATGATACTCTCTAAACGTGACCCGGGAAATGAAATGAGGAGTGAGGAGGGGGGTGGCTTCCCTGCTTGGCACTGGTTTTTACACACCGAATTTCCTGCCCAGGGAATCTCAGCATAACCCCCAGTGCTCTGCAGGCAGAGGTGGGCTGGGGAGAAGCGGGCTCCCCGTGTGGCTCTGCGGGGCGAAAGGCACTTATGGTAGAGGTGACCTTTCCAAATCCCTGCTTTGGACAGACATTTCCAATAAGGGCTGCAGAAATGCCTGCCAGCCCCAGCCCTCTCAGCCTGCTCTCCATTTTCCTTCCATCCTCTCCAGGCTGAATTTAATCCGAGAAGGTTCCTTTGAGCTTTTGTGTGTTGCTGGGGGAGATGTGGGCGCGCAAGGGATCGCGTTACAACTTTCATTTCCTGAAATGTTTGAGGGAACATCCAGGGTTTTATCCACACATCAGGCAAAGTTGAGGGCTCAGGTTTCAGGTCTTGTCACTCAGCTGTCACCAAACAAATGAGCCTCTCAGAGCTGGAGACGGGGAGAGCTACCTGCTATTCATGACCCCAAAAGCAGGTGATCACTCATGGGAAAAGCAGGTAGAATTAATCATTCTGCTGTTCCCCATTTCCTCCCCTTTTTGGCTGACCTGGACACAGTGTGAAATCTGTCCTGGGAGGTGAAGGGAGGGGGGAAAGGAGAGAGGATTAACCCCTTCCTGCCGATGAAAGCAGAGCAAAGTGAGGTGAGGGCGGGCCCGGGCTGCTCCTCGGGCTGGCTGTGCTGTGACAAGCTTACTGCGAGGTCAAGCTCGCCCGGAGGGAGCCGACCGAAGTGCGCCGGGCTCCGCTCCCACCTGCGCGGCCCCGTCTCTTCTTATGTCCAGCATTTACTTCCAGGGCTTTCCCTTCGGCCTTCCCCACCTACCTGCAAGCTCTCCCCGGTAGAGAATGCAGAACCGGGCCGTACGCAGGTCTCTGCGGACAGAAGGGCGGTGCGCGCGGCGCTGCGCGTCATCTGCGCGCTGTTTGCGCCGTCCCGCTCTGCAGCCGACAGGCCTGGCAGCGGCTCTGTGCGAGGGTGGGGAAGCTGGGAGAGCAGGACCCCCCCGGCTGCCCCCCCCGGAAGCGGAGCCTTAAGGCCGCCTGCGCGCAGGAAGCGCCTCTGCGCCGTTTGCTTTGAAAATAGTCCCCGGCTCGCGATGCCCGCTTTGATTTGCGCTGCGCAGGGCTGGAGCCCCGCGCAGTGTTTATCCTTCCATTCCGGCGAGCTTCGCGACGGGGCCCGATCGGTGCCCTGCGACGGGCAATGCGGGTCCGCCGGCCGTGCTGCCTTCCCCATCCCGTTCCCTCGGGGAGGCCGTACCCTCCCTGCTTCGCGGAGCCGGCCCGTTCCTGAAGCGAGCGAAGGGCCTCGCGCAACCCGTCGGGACCGGCGCCGCGTGCCCCGACGGGGCGGCCGCCGCCACAGACGGGGAGGATGAAAAGCGCCCCGGTGCTGTGACCTCGCGGCCGGAGTCGGGCGGGAGAAGCCGGGGGCAGCCGAGGAGCGCGGCGGGACCCGCTTGGGAAGAAGGCGGCCGGGAGAGACCCTCCTGCAGAGGGTGACATTTCTCCACGGCCCGAGACCCCGAGTACAAACACGGTGGAGCCTTAAACAAACGCCCGCTCGATGGTGCAAAACGCGGACGCGGGGGTGTGCGGAAAGCGACACCATCCGCACCGTGCGGCCGGGGGCGGTCCCGGTGTGCAGCCCCCGAACCCCGACCTCGGCTCCATCCCTCGGTGGTGGCACAGCGAAAGGGCAACGTTGGAAGGAGAGCGGCTCCCACGTCGTGGGAAGGGGGGGGGGGGCTGGCACGGCGCGGAGGGTGGGGGGCTGAGGAGCTCCACAGAGAAGAGCGCAGCGTCGGGCTTCTGCCATCAGCGGTGTTTAATTTCGGCTGTTTGAGTACAATAGAAAAGAAACCTGAAAGCACACGCGAGGTCGGTAACACAGACTCGAGGCAGACAGCTGCGGGCTTACTGAGAGGCAGAGCTGGGGGTTGGAGGGGGTGGGCAGACAGAGAGAGACGCTCGTGCAGAAGGAAAGGGCCGTCCGCATTTATTTTCGCTGTTGTTCTTGTCCTAATGTGAAGCCGAATCGCTGCGTGTCCCGGCAGGGGAGCAGCACCGCCGCGTTAAGACATAGGCACTTGGTAAAACCCTCATACTGCCGCTTCCTAATTATATATATATATATATATATATATTTCTTTTTTAATTTTAAACTACATCGAAATCCTTCCGGTGAAGCTAAATATGAAAAAAAAAAAAAAAAAGAAGAAATGTAAACGAAAAGT